ACATGATGCCTTGTATGAGCATTAGCTTAATGTATTCAGTTCTGTATCAGTATTTCACTGATCTCCTGCCTTAGCCTGCCCTGCTGCCATGGCTATTCATAGGAAGATATGCACAGATATCTTGTTCCACTCTGCTGTCATGCTATGAAATATGAAAGTTAACCATCATCAAGGTATTTATGATAATTTAAGAAAGTATTTGTTTTGCCATGTTGCTTAGATCTGAAAATCTGTCATCTAAGTAACAAATTCTTCACTGTTTCAGGTCCTCTGGAGGAACCTCTTTTAGTTATAAGAATTTTCCTGTAGTAATTCTGTTGGATGGATAAGGAGCAGGCTTTGCCTACTACTTGGAAAGTCAACTTTCCAAGAACTTCTTACTTTCCAGAAGGGGTGTGTCCCAGCACCAGAAACATAAGAGTGCAGCTCAGAGCTGAATTTGCCTGTCAGTTTGGTACAGAATCGTCTCATCCTCTGCACACCCCATTACTGCTGCCATAGAGACACCAGATGTGTGTGTGCTCTTTCCCCAGCCACAGCCCAGTAATGCCCAGCACCAACTACTGAGGCAATTTAACTCAACAGATAATGATAAAAAGGACAGAAGAAAAGAAAGTCTTTGGCCCACAGTTGAGCCTCTGAGCAGTGACAAAAAGAGTTTTCCCCGTTTCCCATTCTTGAATTACAACAATGGAAATCATTTCACAACAAAAGGAGGTTTAATTTCCCATAAAAGAAACACCTGAGACAGTAAGGCTCATTTCTACCAATCTAAAAAGAAAAAGAGGTTCATAAAGCCAGAAACTCAAATTTTCCTCTCAGACATGAATTGGATCAGATTTAGTCCTTGAATTTGCTGCTGAAACTTTAACGATATCAAAGAAAACTTTTGCTATGGCTGGATTTTCACCCTATTAAATACAACCTGCCCATCTGAGAGTTGCACCTTGCTCAAAAGAAAGGCCAGGACTATACCAGTGGTCAATGCAACTTAATCCCCATCAATAACTTAAAACTGCACTGCAGTTTATAATGGCAGGACTGCTCTAAAGCCCATCAAAATCAACTGGAGTTTTTTCCCTGGCACATTGCTGTGCCTGGGATCAGTCTCATTCTATGGGACACAGGTACTGTGAGGCCAGATACTGTAACTGTGCAACATTTTTACACTGATCTGCAGAACAATATTTTTTTCTACTAGCATGTCTTCTTTTTGATAGCTCCAATTCCATATTCAGCAATCTGAGCTCTGCTCTAAACAGGATTTAGTCATGTGCAAACCAGTGCTCACGTGCTTTAATAAAAGGTGCATAAACTATTGCAATAAAACTTTACTACAACCACAGTATCAATAAGGGACTGGCTTGATATTAAGTGATTATCTTACCACCACTGACCACATCATAAAATATCTTCAAGCTGAGAATAATACCTCTATGCCTAAATTGTTTGTTATTTGAAGTGCTCTAGCAGCTGTATCCACACTTTGTTGAAGAGCCATCTCAGCAGTGGCTGGGATCACAGTTTGCTCCTAGATCTTCCTGTCCTCTATCCCCAAGGGAGCTCCCAGCCAGCACTGTGACAGCCTGTGTGAGCTGCCTAGCACACCTGCTGAGCTCAGTGCCCTCTGCTGCCCTGGGTTCTTGTGTGCTAGACTCATTTCTAGAGGTTTTTTCTCTCTAAATTCAGTCACTCTCAGCAGACCTAGGTCTACCCACCTTTCATTAGGTAATGGGATTGATCCTGATGTGAAATTGAGGACAGGATTGCAATGATTAAGTGTTTTTTGAAAGGCATTGAGCAAGTTCACCTACTGGCCTGACAAGCTGAAGGCATTCACAGTTCCTTCCTTTTCACTTTTATCTAGCTCCACTTTCCAGAGCAGTACACCCAAGAAATGAAAACACAGGACTTTTGTTACCACTCTGGTTACACTAGAGGAGGTGCAGAAGTGATTTCACGTATTTGGGTTTTTTAAAATATTGCTGTATACACGGAAGCTAAGCTGCTGCTTCTGAAAAACTACCATATTCACATCTGACTAACTTAGTGTTTTGATACTGATGCTACAGACCGGTAGCTGGTTTTCTTCTGTTCTCTGTGTAGCATTAGTCCAAACAGCTGCCAGGGAGGTAAATCCACAGCAAAATGTGGAATTAGAAAGCCATGACATTACTACTAGGAACTCATCTAGAAGTTAGCCTAATCACTGCATGACCACAGTGGCTCAGTGCTGGGTGTTAAGTGATACTGCTTTCTTTTCAGCATGGCAGGAGTTCTTTATATCAAGAAAACATTAATTATTGGAGGTGCTTTTTCTAATTTTCATGTTAATACATTTTTTGAAGCAATCTATTCCCCAGATTGTCATAATTTGTTTTCAGTTGTACTTGCACTTTGTAAAACCTTTTTGTGAAGCAAGGTTCTAACCTGTCTGGAGCTGTACACCCTAGCTAGGCCAAATCTGAATCAGAAATACAACTGACAGCTGTAACTTAAGGCTTTACATGGTTTCTCTTTAAATCAATAGGATTTTAGCCACAAAATTATGTGAAGACAAGGTATGATTCCTGAAGTCTGTCTTTAAAAAGTGCCGTCTTCTTATTTTAAGTTGCATTTTAAAAGCAGGTTTTAAGAAAGGGGCCCATGCACCTACACTGCATGATAATTTCAGATAACTAAGAAAACCATTTCCATTATGAAGCCACACTGTGCCTGTTAAAAAGATGCAGACATCAAGAAAACAAATGACCATTTAACAAACACACTTAAGCACTAGCATTGTCATAGATACGTTTATGCTTATTGCTCTGGATTTGGTTGGAATTTAACAGGCTTTTAATAGCATCATTTTGGAAATGGTTCTGCTTGAAAGAATGGCTGTGTGTACATCTCTCTACAGCTCTCAATTCGTACAAAAATTAAACAAGACATTAAAAGTACCACCAGCATAGTGACCATTCCCTGGCTGGAATGGTGTATTATCCTTACATTTAGTTCTTCCATACAAAGCTTGAGTAAACATTATAATGTTCCCCCTGCTTGAATTCCTGCACTGACAGACCTGTATGAAAAGGAGAATCCAAGTTCTGCCTCAGCCCCTTCCTATGCAAATCTGGCAGGAGCTGTACTCCTCATATGGGGATTTGCAAGAGCAGTGGATTCCAGGTGGCCATGATCCAGACTGCACAGGTTTCCACAGCCCAAAACCCAACATAAGAGCAGCAATGCAGACTCTACAAGCCTTTAGTGCATCACATAAAGCACATCTCAGGCTGCTGTACTCCCATCAGCTCAATTGTCAGGGCTGCCCTTAGACACTAGCTCACCACTGCCTCCCATTTTAGCACCTCCCTCAGGCATGGAGAACTTCTCAGGCCCGGCAGAGGGCAGGAACAGTTCAAGTGATCTGGCTAAACTCAGAGGTCAACACAACTAGGTTCAGTCTAAAATTAGTCTAATTTTTCAAAACACTACAGCCACTTGGAATCAGTCAGTATTGAAATAAAAATATTACTGATCTCAAAGGGTTACATCCTGCTGTTGTAGACAGACTGGAACATCTGAAAAGGCCAACATCATGTCAGTATTAAAATGTAAAGTTCAATATCATGTGGCATTTAGGTTTCATTTAAGCTTTTTGAGAGCTTTTGTGGGGCAGGTAGGAATATTTCTTGCACATACAAACCATTAGTCTACTGCTAGGGCTTAGTTTTGAATCTAATATCCATATATAGTTCATGATAATTTAATATATGTGTTACAGTAGCACCTTATTGTACAGCTTTAATCACAAGACATAGTCCCTACTTTGTGGTATCTGTAAGGAAATGATGAACATGGTTTAGATTCTAAAAAGAGAAGAACAATTATCTGCTCATGAAAGACAAATCCTTAGTGCATTCATTCTAGTCTGAAACCCTTTGTCTTTTTAAAGCAAACCACATAGTTCCCAAATTCAGAGCAATTACCCCCACTTCCCCACTTCTTACCCTCTTAAAATCATGTTGCAAAACAAACAGTGCTGTATCCATTGGATCCTGTTGGATTATTTTTTTTTTCACATGGTAACGCAGGATCTTTCTTCTTTAAGTGTGATAAAACTCCCCAGAAGATGCAACTTGGCATCAACAAAACTAGGAAATACACTACATACATTAAATAGAGGTAAGCTGAGTCTGGAGCCATTTGCTTCTTCAGTTCAGCTTTAGATGTGGTGGCGGCACCTTTAAGCAACACCATCTACACTCTGCCTTCCTCAGATCTGCCAAGATTCACAGTAAGAAATGCAACAACAGTGGTGGGAAGAAAAACTAAGCAATAGTCAGACTTGGGATTGTTCTCTGTAAAAATTCATGGGGTTCATTGGCACGTCCCATGCTGATGTGGTTGGTCTGTGTGTGACACACGTGTACAGATGAGTGAGCAATGTCAGTTTTCATCTGCTGAAAGCTTATACCTGTAGCAGTCAGTGCTTTGTTCAACAAGGCTGGGGACTGCTAATGGAAGAGTAAGTTCTTTCTTCATTCAGCAATTAACCAGATTGCTGCTGTGTCTGTGTTTAACTTTACAATCCTCAGAGGGTTTAAAGAGCTGCTGTCTGAAGCACCTGCTTCTGAAATGTTCATGTGTATTTCTTGCTTTCCTTTTTTCATACTTTTCCATTCTCCTCTGCAGCACCATGGTTCTCCAAGCTCCTGATTCTCTTGTTTTCCTTCAGAGGCAAAAGCTGCAGTGATCCTGAGGCGGTTTGGGCACAGCCACAAACAGTTAGTTTGTCCTTTCTCTCTCTGTCTCATAGTTAGAAGAGTGTCATTGTGCACAGTTCCATTTATTTCAGTGGATGAATCCAGTTCACCCAGCACGTTAGGCAGTCAAAAAACCCAACAACAAACAAACAAAAGAAATTGTCTAAATCCCAAACAGGCATCTTTGGAATCAGTAGTGCAAAATGTCTGCGGATTTCTTTTCCTTGACCTACTGCAATAATCTCTTAATCTTCAAGTCTTTCCTAAAATAGTGGATCTGTAAATTAAAAATATAAGAGGAATGAAAAAAAGCACAAAGATAAAGTTGTGTTATTTTTTTTTTAACTACTCTCTTCAGATTCTCCCACCAAACCATCACAAACCCATGATGACACACGTAAGAGATGCAAACTGTAGGAAGATCCAGTTACCCCTGGGCATTTTTAATCTAGACCAGGCCTCTTTTGCAGGGCATATCACTGCAGGACTGCACAAGTGGAGGCTGTTTTTAAATGGTGGGTAATTTGAGGTCATGATCAGCTTTTATCAGTGCAGCCTCAGCTCTGTAGATTAGTCTTAAATGGAAAAGACCTCCCTCAAAGGTCACATTTTAAATGTCAGCACTTTAAAAGCTTCAACTATTAGTGCTGCATTTTGGAGGTACTTTAGAAATGAGCTGATCAAACGAGTGGTTACCTTAAGGATTTCCACCTGTCTTTTTCTGTCTGGTTTTCTGGACTTTCACTTTCATAGGAAGCCAGATACAAACCTGGAAAAGCAAATATGTGTTATTCCAACAGCAACAGTAATCCCCTATCTCTCTGCATTCTTTTATGCCCCATGTTAGACTACACAGTGGGAGAAACTTTAAAACTTACTGGTCCACCAGGTAGCTGGTAATCACTAGGACACTGTTGTTCAGCTCACAGATCTACCTTTGGAAAGCTGTTAGGTTAATTTTGATGGAACAGTAAAGGAGCCCAGAGTTAAAATATGTTAGCATGACCCTCTCCTAATAATATTAAACAAATACTAAATGGTCTCTGTTTTGCATACAGAGATCTCAACCTATTTACTTCATCACAGCACTGCTACTAAAGCATTATATGAAGTCATATGACAGCTAAACAAATAAACTTGATAAAATTAAGGATATTCCCATCATTTAACACAACTTCATCTTCCTCAATCTTTTTAAAGCTTATGAGGGCAATGGATACAAAACACCCTCAAGGCAGAATGAGTTACAGAAGCCAGAGCAAGAACATAGAAGAAAACAAATTGATCTTTTAATTTTTTGCACAACTTTGCACTACAGGATGCATTTTATGACACAAAAATGTGTCTAGGCTGTAAAGCATCCTCTTCAAAAGCTGATGGTGCATTCATATCTCATTGTGTTCTCATATTTTTTTAAGCTTTGTGTTCACACACATTTCCTCATTTGCCTGCTTAGTAATGCTTTACTCTCTCATGCTGGAACCACTTCAGTATTCCAGCAATTCCATACAATTCAATGACATTTCAATATTCAGGGATTGGCCCCACTATTCCTCCACGCTCTAATACTGCTTCATCTCTCTAATATACTCTCCCACCTTTTACCCTGGGCAGGTCCTTCTGCTCTGCACTTCCGCTGGGTACCAGGTCAGCCCTGATGTGGCTTCTGCATCTCGCAAAAGCAGTGGGAACAGAGAAGAGGGCATGAGAGAGAAAATCTGCAAATAATTCGTGGGCTAAGGTCACCCTGTTTTGGTACAGCAGCCTGAAAACTGTACTTTCACCCCTGACTTTCACTTTCTGTCGCCTTAGACCCTAAAACCAGAACCAATTATTTTAATCACATTAATTTATTTTTTTTTTGGCAGTCATTCTTCTTAGGATTTAGGCAAGATTTTTGAGGCAGTATTTTGTGTTCTGAAGTATTCTGTGAAATATGAACTGTCTGTTCTGATTAACTTGGATTAGCACAGAAAACTGCCTACAGAACTAAAAAAATTGAAGCCAACACCAGCCTAGCTTGTGGGAATGCAGCTACAGACAGTCCTGTGCGTGACAGTGTAGCAAGAGACAAGTGACACAAACCAATATGAAATGACACAACCTGACAGGCTGGATACCAAATAAAAAAGGACAGATAAGTATAAAAAGACAATCAATTTCACAATAGGGCTTTCATAGCACAGCTGAAATGAATGATTAGATTTCACAAGATTTTTCTTTAAAATTCTTTTCTGTAGTGAAGGGATTTCTTTGCTGTAGTGGACGAGGTCAGCTGGGCTACCCTCACCCTGGGCTGTGTGCACTGAGATGACAGTGTTGGGTTGAGGAAGAGATGACTTCTGGCTCCATCTATCACAGAACAAGTGGCTAAGGGACAGCTGCCATTCACAGCAGTCCACAACATGGTTGTGTGGCCTCTTTTCTTGGTTGCAAAAATAGGGCCAAAATGGCAACTTCCTAGACAGTGCTTTGTGGAAACGTTATAGACAAAAGAAAAGCAGTCAGCAGCTTTGTGCACTAAAAGCTGTATTTGCAAAAACTACATTGGTAGGCTGGGGATAAACAAACTGCATGGCAGGAAAGGTAGGAAAGAACTGGGACTGGTCAGTGAAAGAAAATCACTAATGGGTGTTAATTAGTAGTGATGAACAGACATTTTCAGAGATTAGAGACTGTACAGAGTCTTACCATCTTCAGTAAAAATGGGAGCAGTATGTAAGTAGTGGATGATGTTAGGGTCTTGTTCAAAGGGACATTCCACTTGCTTCCATGTTATAAATTCTCCCACTTGCTTAGCCAGTTCCAGAAATTTCTGTAAACATAAAACTCAGTTACAGTAAGATTATCTCACTAAAACAACAAGATCCAAGCAGAAGACTGGGTTGCAGGATCCCTTGTGCCAACCACAAGGAAAAAAGCCTTGTATGTGCTAAATGAGTACATTTTCACTGTTCATTTACAGTGGAAAGAGGGAGGAAGGGTGTGCTGTGTTCCTTCTTACAAGCCCTCTCAGTTTGTACTTAAATGAAAATATATCCATGAACAAAGGTATGGGTTGCACATTTGTCCTTAAGAATAGAGGACAAACTTTGATGGAAGAGAATTAGATAGAAATTACAAAGAGAAGTAACTCTGAACACCTCTTTAGGTCTAAGAGTAAATATACATGGCAAAAATGTTCTCAAGTAATTCAAAGGGAAGCCAGGCTCTGTATTTTATGCATTACTCACTATCTTACAATGCCAGTAACTGGAGGAGAAATGTAATGCAACAAACCAAAGTGATGCTGCAGAAATTATTTACAAGGAATTTGAGAGCTGGAGAACTATTGTCTCATTGACCTGGGACAGTACTTTAGATCTTACTCTGCAAACCTTTTGATTAAAAATGATAAAGGTCTAAAAATGCAGACAACAAAGTATAAAGCATTTTATACTGACTTGTTGTCTGTGTAAGAAAGAGTTTTCCATGCTTTCTGAAAAAGCCATCTTCCCCTCCAAGCCATAAGTGTAGTAATTTCTACTGGTGACACTGTATTTCTAGCAGCCAACCTGACATCAAGCAAGTTAGGATAATCTGCTTGTAATGTTTATATAAGATATAGATATTGTTTTTAAAAAGACAACCCAAACATTTCTGGAATTGGTTTAACCTTCACACAGTCACTTGAGGTCATTCCTTTTGGCATATTCAGCCTTTGTTGGTCTGCTCTGCAACTGCAGGCAAACAGTTTCAGGTAGTGCTACTAGAATGGGGCAGATAAAAACATTTTCCAGATCTTACTTCAAAGTTGACGTGTCCATTTGGAAGGCGATTAGCACATCCTTCATTCAGAAAATAAATGTCTTTGATCAATAGGCTGAAGAAGGGGATCACAATCTGTGAAGAGAAATTAATCACTGTTATCTTTCCAGTTAGTATTTTCTCTGCGTGAAGGAAGAACTCGATCAGGAGAGAGGAGAAAAAATAGTAATTTCTCTGTGTGATGCGCACTTAAAAAGCAGCAGAGTGACAGAGAAGCAAAAGGGCAGTAGTGTATGGAGACACCTTCAGCCATCAGAACATATGCTGAAATAAATCTGAACACAATGTTCACTGAGCAGAATAACATGACTAAGAAAATGCTAATTCAGTTTATTATCACTGTCTGATGACAAGATCAGACAGCAAAGAGCAAAATAAAATTGCAGGACTCTTCCTTTCTCTTTTGGGTCTTCATAAGCAAAGATGCTGAATACACAAACTGAGCAATTTATAGACAGCTGGGAACCAAAGAACCAGTATTGTCCCTGAACAAGGAAAGAGACTAAAATCTGATGACCAAGGACTTGTCTACAAACAGTTAATCAGGAGTTGTTTCATTTTCAACAGCTCCATACATGGCTACCCCTTCAGGCTGTGATTTCCTTCCTGGTGCCTGATTAGTACAACTTGCTTCTCCAAATTAACCTGCAGACAGTAGGACTGAAAATACTAAGTTGACAGGAAACTGCCAATAGCAGACAGAGAGATCATAGTAGTGTTCAAAATAAGCCCTGGGCATCATCCAGGGTAAAGTGGCCTAGAGCAGTGATCCGAGCCTATCTAAGCTATCAAAGTCAGGTCACAATTTGCTACAGGAAAAGTCTACTGTAGGTAAGAGTCTTGAAATTAATGGAATTACAGCAAGGATAAATTTGATGCCAGACATTCTACAGCAGAAAGCAGTGACAGTGCTCCTGAAGTGCATCCCCAACACTTCAGCAGACACCCAGAGTCCTCTTGTGTCACAACATAAAGGGACATGAGTGATAACACAAACGCATCACAAAATGACCCCCAGTAGCCATAGATAAACTCTGATGTCAGCCCAATAGCCATAAAAATCCCTGAACTGACACTCCAAGACCCACTGGCATTATCTTGATACATCCCACTAATACAGGAATGAAAACACAGCTCAGCCTAACCCCCAAAATGCTGAGCCCTCCTAGCAGGGTGAGGTGGGACAATTTGTAGGCAAACCAAGCTAAGTGTGTTTCAGGATTCATTTTTATATCATCCAAACTAGATTAAATCAATCTGAGGTAAAGAATACAATCAGGCCATGTGGGTTTGCCTTCTGCCAAAAATGATGACACAACTCTGTAACCAGCATGGTCTTACATGGTGGGAAGACACAGGAGACCTGGAGCCAGATGCTGATTCCCAGCTAGAAATTACTGCCAGTCTCTGTCTAGGTATTTTTTGCAGGCAGATGTGAGCTTGTTCTGCCCTGCTCCACACTGCCTGGGAGCTGGGTCACCCTCATTAGTGGTACTAAACAGAAACTAAAGCCTTGCTGAGAGGGAAGGTGTGTGAATGTGGGCTCAGTGCCACACTACAGCTACAGACCCACGGGCAGCTCAGAGCATGGCTTGAGCTTGTTCTCATCAGCATCCAAAAGGCATCAAAGACACATCCTAGGATACCAATTCTCTACACACTTCCAGGGGATTTCTGTCTTTGGGTCACCATTTATTTCCCCAATAAAATATGTTATCCTGTATGTTTTGTTTTCCACATTTCTGTAGGAAAAGCAACAAAAGTGGCTACAGTTACATTCTAACGTTGGCTTCAGTCCAGGCACTTTGCAAGCATAAAATCTGGATTAGTGCCAGAAACTTCTATTTCAGCCCCTTTTGATTCCCTCCCAGTGCCATCCAACCCACCCACATGCTGAAGGACAATTGCCTCCTACAGAAAGAAAGCTAATGAGGTCAGACACGTTCTTCCTCCAAAGTATGAGACAGCAACATCACACAGGACTGCACTGCCCATCCTCCAACAGTTCAAGCCAGAAATACGTCATTAGCACAAGGCAGGGTTTCCCAGTGGAATGACTTAATTTTGGAGGTGGCACAGGTCATCTGACAGCATAGATAAAACCAGACATAGTTCCTAACGAGCACACCCCTCTGAATTCTGCATAGATCAGCCCTTCCTCATTACTAGTTCTCTCACCCTGCACTTTGGCAGGTTTATTTCTGCCCCTGTATTGCCTTGCTGAGCTTCACCAGCTGCCTTGCTGTGCTGTTTCACCACTCTGCTCCTGAACAGGTAACAAGTAGTTGTAACTGCTGTTTGCACACTGAGGGATGGATTAGAACAGTGAGGACTGAGGTGAGGGATCCTTCTCGGGTATATCGAGACCCTTCTCCTACAACCTGTGCAGCAGTCTCACACGAGCACCCTGAGGATGAGGATGGAGTGGGTGATGAAATCAGGCAGTGCTTTTTTGGTACCATCTGTCACATGGGGGATTTGGGTGAGATAGGTGCACAGAGCAGGAGGAGGGAAGGTGCCTCAGCTCACTGGCTTACCCTGTCTCCCTCTGAGGATATAATTTAGCCCCTGAGCTGTGCTTCTGTTGAAGTGCTGTGCAAAACAGAACAGCCAAGGCACCAGCCCTGAGGAGAGCAGAAAGTAACATTCCTGGAGAGGCTGCCAGTTAAACCTCAGCTCCTCTGAGCCTACAGGCAGCTCCTCCCGTGAGACAATAACCCACTGCTTACTCTGTTGGTCTGCAACTAGAGTGCTCCCTCCAGAGCACCTTCCTTCTCAAGCTGATGGACTGAGGAATGAAGCCTCCATCTGTGCTGCTGGGGTGGCTACTTGTCAAGAAGAGGGTGGAAGGAACTGGGAACTCTTGTAAGCACAGTTCAGGTGGAAGAGAAAAGTTTTCTTCAGAGTGAGCTCGGCTGCAAGTTTGCCAAGGAACAACATTTTCTATCAAAAAAGTGATCATGTTATTTCTATTTTATTCAAACTCATTGAAATAAATAACTGATAATCCTTTTTATAGAAAGAAACAAAGTTCCTTGATTCCTACAGTGACTGCTGTATCTGACACTGTAAAATACTCAAGTAGCTACCAAATCATATGCGTAAGCATTTTCTTGAACTAAAGTTATCTACACAAGGGAAACAGAATATGGGCTTTTTCTTATGTAAAATAGATACCTTTCAATCTAATAACCTCTCTGCCCTCAGTCTTAACCAGCTAGGGGTAGAGACGTGACAATCTCCACAGAAAATTAAGTCAAACAATAAAGCAACTATTTTGAATACATATGATGCTTGCAGAAGAACTAAATGCAGAAGCATCTCAGACTGAGAGACCCTTGCTGCAGTGTGTGAGGATTAAAATAATTTCTCTGCCAGTCACAAACATCCAAAGCCACCATCTCTTCTTTGCACAGAGAAGTGCGTTTCAGAACAACTCAGCACACTCCCAATGCAGCTGAGTCAGCCTGCAACCAGATGCCGATCTCATTTCACTGCAAATGCTGTGGGATTCCATCAGCTTCAGCAGATTTACATCAAATGTACAGGGATGTGAGATTAGCATCTGGCCTGGCTCCTTGAATGAATACTGAATTCCATATTATGCTTGTTCATGCACTACATCTACTTTACCTTAGCCATGCTCTGGGCAGAGATTACCCATTTGTTACTATGTGCAACTGGGGTGTTAAAACAAACCCTCTTTCATGAAACAAAACAAAAAAAGTTCAATGGAGAAACAATTACATTGACAAGAAAAACACTGGGACACAAAACAGGAGGATAATGCACTAATTTTTTGTCCATCTGATTTTTGGAGCACCAGTGACATCTCAGAAAGCCATGCAACTGCCACAAATACTGATAAAATGCTTCAGTTCTAGCTCACTGAGATGGCAGTAACAGCCAAATGAAATGAAAATTCATGAGGACGGAATTTCACCCCAAATTTGCTGCAACGAGTTCAGGCTAGACTTCTTTGCAGGACTTGTGGGAAGTCACCTTTTCCTGATGTAAATGGAGAACCACCTCATCTCTCTGAGTGCTGTGCCCTTTGCTCTCTCTCTCAAATCACACACAATAGGGGCTTGTCTGCACAGGGGCCTGGCTGGCTCAGCTGTAAGAACAGTGCAGCTCCACCTGGGCCTGCCAGGCTGATGCTCCATACCAAAATACAAGTAATTTTAGTCTGGAATACCTGTTCCATTAGGTTCATCAGTCTAAATAATGTGAATTTTCCAGGGATATAAAGACACTTGCAACCAAGTCCCTCATGCTGTGTGTACTGCCCTCTCTGGCTCCCCAGCTTCTGACAGCAAGTCCACAAAAGCCCTGTGATCCGTTTCAAGCTCCTTTCAGCCACAGATTTACGTCTCCAATTGCATTCAGCAGTGCACCAGCCTTGCACTGGTGACCCATGGAAGGAGAAGAGCATTTGCAACAAGTCTTTGAGCCACTGGCTCTCAGCAGCAACCCACACCTTCCATTTGGAGATCAGGGGGATGTGGCCCCACCTACCTTCTCCCTGTTGCTGTGTGCGGTGAGGGATCTGTGAGCAGCTCCCCGCAGTGCTGTTCTGTAGTTGTAGAAGTTTCCAGTAGGGTCCATCTGGTGCTAGACACACAAAAGAAGACACATTGGTTAGAAAGAGACATCAGTGGAAGCACTACGGCTTGTACATAGGCTTTTTTTTTTTTAATATCTTCCTGTTTATCTGAGTGCTCAAATTCCTCACTACACATCAGCAGCTTTGTACCTTTCTCACTACACCTGGGAAACTTCAGCCAAAATCTGCCCCTCTGACTCTAAAACATGTCTGCAAACTTCTCATATGTGGATAACGTAATGAAAATTCACAAACAAAAATATCCAGAATATAATTTGAGCAGTTTATCAGCACCTTTTAATTTTTTTTACCTCAAGAATGAAAAATTTGGCTGTTTTCACTTTTGACCAAGTCTTCTTTAGCCTGGAAACTGGACTCATGTTCATTCCAGCTGAGTGAAAAAGAGGAGAAGAGAGCCATGGATCACAGTCAGGCTTCTGTTTTCATCTGTGACAGCTGATGGGGAGACAGGGTTAGAAGCTGTACTTACAAATGATGGCCATCAGGGAGTTAAAATTCCCAATGTTGAAGCACTCTCGGGCAACGTCAATGAAGAATTCGATGACTTGTGCTCGCTGTTTCTTTTTTGCAGGCTGAAAATTAAAATAAACAAATACCAATAATAAGAACATGCAGAACTGAAGGGAAACTTGGGCATTTCATGCCAATCATGGGTCCATGCTCAGCTTGGGCCATCTGCTGTCAGTCCTGGCCCGAAGTCTGTCCCAGCAATCCAGTGGATAGTGGCAGTCTCTAAAATCCAAGTGTCTGTTGCAGTGACACTGCAATGGCAACTCATGGTAATTCCCAGCTCACCTCAGCTTATGTCTTAGCACTGGAACAGGCAGCCCAAAGAGCCCTGAAGCAGCTCAGCTCCCTGCTGGCCTCCCTCAAGTCGGTGGGCACATCAGCACAGACTTTCCTAAGGACAGGATTTATGCCCATGTAACAGCAACATCTTTGTCCCAGAAAGACTTTGTTTCACTGCCTTAATGCCTTTCACCTATTTTGGCCCTTTCAGCAACACAGCCAGGCCAAATGGTACCTTGCATTTTAAATGCATTTTTTAATTGGCCTGGAGTCACCCTACATATTCCAAAGATGAGCTTCAAATGGCAATGCTATCTACAAAGTTTATACTATTATCGTTCTTCCCTTCCATGTCCTTTTCAAAGGGGAAAACATTAATCTCATTTTGTTTGGGTCAGGTTAAACAAGCTAAACCCACTACACCAAGGTAAAAAAAATTACTAGTCACAGCTACAGCAGGACAAAGAGCCACACCACGGGAATTCACATGCACAGTGGAGCTTTAGGATGACAGATAACAAATACTGTTCCACTAGAATCTTTTCCAGCAGAAATCTCACAGGATAATTCAAGGCTTTTTTTTCCCCCCCTTTCTTTTTCCCTGCAGGGTTCATTATTCCACACTGTGCTCCTACTACATCAAGAGAGCAGTGTATCCCCTGTGTGTCACCAGCTCTGTTTTGCAATATGTTTGTCATTTATCAGGTTGCTTCTGTGAGTGCAATATTACAAAAACTTACTGCAAGATGCTTAGCTAGGCCAGAGGAAATAAATTCCCAGGTTTGCTTATTAATGTGTAAACTCAAAGTGGTACTTCAAGCACGGGGTGAAAGATGCCACATATTTTTGCTTACCATGCAAATTTCTGTTGCTACAAGATAGCAGAGTCTATTGAACCATTTCACGTAGGCCTCAAGGTTACTCGTCTTCTTCTGCTCACTGAAACAAGTCTGGGGAGAAAAAAGCACAGAAAGGCTTAGAACTGTTTCTCAATTAGCTGCCTGATGGCTGAGATCAACACTACCCAAAGGTAATTGCTTGGCTCTCTCTCATGCACAATAAGACAAGCAGAATCTTCCACAGCACACTTAGTTTGTGCCTTTGCCTCCAGGACTTCCCTCACTTCAGTCAATCACCCAGAGCCCTTTTCTGGAGGGGACAGACTATAATTTAGTGAACAAGAGATAAGCAAAAGAAAGCACTAGTTGCTTCTTTACAGAAAAAGTTATTCCCTTAGTGAGTTTTCAGGATAATAGGCTCTCTGGTGACCAGCTCTGTCTTGATGGATGCTCTTGAACAGGTCACTTACACACCAGATACTTCACTGGTAACTGCCAAACAGCACATTTCTCACTTTTTTGGGGGTCTGAAACCTAACATAAGTTTCCATAACTGATAGAGGCTGTGTGAGCAGATACTTGGCTGAACTCTTCCAGCTCCTTTGACATCACCAGGTAATTTGACTTCAGGGCAGTGACTTGACAGCTCACACAGCCTGAAGATGTTGCGCAGGATTATAAGAATTCAGGATCTTTTCTGAGCCCTAAATCCTTAGCGTGTCCATGTAGGGAAGGGAAACTGTGCTTTAGAGTTCATGTAGTTTATTTGAACATTCATGAACATCCACTAGAGGGTATCAGAGAATACAGATTTTTTTGGTTTATTAAGATGATTATTTCCCAGAGCCCCTAAATCCTTAGCGTGTCCATGTAGGGAAGGGAAACTGTGCTTTAGAGTTCATGTAGTTTATTTGAACATTCATGAACATCCACTAGAGGGTATCAGAGAATACAGATTTTTTTGGTTTATTAAGATGATTATTTCCCAGAGCTACCATAATCACACTAAGAAAAAAAATCACAATGCCCAAACACAGATCCTTTAATGTCAATGGGATTACCTGTATTATGCAAGTTAAACAAGTGACTAAAACCCCTTAAGAAGTGGGGCTTAAGATGATCCCCCATGTAATTCCAAGAAAGAAAATATTCACCTGTGATTCTGTATACAGGCTTGTTTAGAAACAGAAATCACAGTACCATGCTGTGGTGCAAAACTTAACAAGCCTGAAATTCCTAACCACTTCATGAGTAGACTATATATGCAATAAAAATAAATATAAAAATTATATTTAAATAATATATTAAAAGCTTCTCAAAAAGTAAGCAGCGTGTAAATAACCAGACAAAAGAAACCCAAGCAGTCCAGCCTGTTCACAGCCATTGCTTTCCTTGCTCTCTGTGCTATTGTTCCTCATTATAGCAAAAAATGAAACCTAGGTTTGGTTCTAAATGTATCATTTCCAACTCAAGGCTGCTGTTCTGTGCCAGAGAATTAGAACCACAGTTAATACCACAAAGCTTGTGAAAAATGTGCAACAGTTAAAGTTGAAACAGCTTTTTAAAGGTTAAGCTTTATAAATGGCAACAATCTTTAGCACCTCCCTAGCATCTTCCATCTGCAGCTCAGAGTGCTTGATAAACATTCATAAATGAAGCCTTTTGAAGCCCTCATGTGAAAAAGATGTTTAATATGATCTCCAGCTGGAGGGAATTCAGACCAGAGCCAATTCCCTGTGGTTAACAGGGGTGGTCTCCATGGGTCGGGCAGTTTTATGTCACTGCACATCAGGTCTTGCTCTGCAAGGTCCCATGCAATCCCTCCGCTGTGCCCGGGGACAGGGAGGCTCTTCTAAATAACTACAGGAACCTCTAGTCAGCCCAGGGAAAGAAAGGGTGGAGAAAAGTTCCAGGCTACCACTGCTTTCATCAGTGTTGCTGACTTGAAGCCCAATCATTTGTTAGTGCCACGTCTTGTGTGAAAATGCTGAGGCAGTTTTTGCTTTGCTAAGTAGACCCTCCTGGGGGAAGGTTCATTGCCTTGAACTTAGGAGGCAGCTCCGTGGTGATTCCCTGCCCTGCACCTGTTCTCTCTTCTCTGTTATTATGCCCTTCACCCAAGTCACAAAACTGTTACTGGGCAGCACCTCCATGTTCAGATTTGCATTTGAAGAACATGCATAACTGTCAGATAGCTTGTCACAGCCTGCCAAGATCTTTTGCTTAGATTTCCTATCCCACCATCATTTTCAGGGTCTCTGCCTCTCATTCTAATCCTTCCTGTCCACCTTAGCTGATGTTTCCTTACGTTCAACTTGCAACCTCAATTTCTCTTCACATCTTTGTGGCATTCTGTGCTGGCCCAGCCTTTGAAATTCTAGATATAGCTACAGCCATTGTGCCTATGTTAGTTTACTACTGAACATTTCCTTCTTCCTCTTAGCATCCCTTTCCCTCTATAGCTTCAGGCAATTTGATTTCACTCACTGTTGCTTCCCTCCTACTCTTCCAAACTTCACTCAAACCTAGTGGCCTCACTTGATCTCTTTCATTTTACTTTGCAACAGATACAGTGACTGTTCATTTTCAGTCTTGTCCCTCGTGTTTGCAGCAGGTTGCTGACATCTCCCTGTGGCTGGTGTGGTATTTCATGTTTCTGACACATCTTTGCTACCTTCGAGTTCCTTCCTAAAGAATGAGATCAACTCTCAAAATACTTGAAACACCATCTCTGCTCATTCCCCTCTCCCTGAAACTGACTGCAGAATCTTTGTAACTCCAATAAGAGAGGGGAAGAGCCCAATGTTGCACTTTTTATGCATCCATCTATCCATACATTTTTTCACCATTACAAAGTCCTGTGGTGTTCTTTGGGCAGCACTATAGACAGAGATCTCCCTGTTATGTTCAGCATCCAGTGATGACATTCTGCCAGTGATGTATGATCTCAGTGGGAGCCCATAAGCAGTTCTGGGAAAGAATTTTCCACCCTCTTTCTTTTCTGGCAGTATGTGAAATCTCTGACTCTCCCTCTCCAGCCAGGAAGTCTCTTTATTTCAAGCACTCACTGAAATTCTTCTGCAAACCCCAGTGGCATCACTAGAGAAACTCCAACTGGCTTCCCTGAACTTTGGATGAAGCCCTGATCAGGCACTCTGTTCCTTGCAGTGCTTTGGATTAAAAGCTACTGTGTAGAGTAGAAGAGTGTGTTGATTCATGATGCACTGACTCATTACTGTGGTGTCTGGGCACACACTATGGGCATTACATCAGGTCCAGAGTCTTTATGCCTTCAGTGCTGGGAACAGACACTCTCTGGTTGTGTGCAGCCACAAGTCACCTGCCCTGGTCAAAGCAGGTCAGGAGGAACAAGCCAGAAAGCAGAACATCAGGGTGCTGGCCTGTCTCAGGTTAGGACATTCTCTTACTAGGAAGGAATGGCAACGACCTGCCAGTGCAAGCTCTACTAGCAGGCCCCATCCTTGCCATGAGAATACAGGTCATCAGTTGACCTGGCCATAGTCAACATGTGCCCCAGGCCCTGCTCTTATGGATCTCATCACATCAGTCTATCTAGAACAAACAGTGATCACAGGAGACACTTTGCATGTGGAAAAATCGTACCTTGGTACCATCCAGAGGGTCTTTATGTACAAATGCCTGCACAAACTCCTCAGGTCCAATGTGACTTAGCCTTTCCTATTAGAGAGGGGGAAAAAAGAGAAGAAGAAATAAGAAAACATTCCAAATACCTTCTGTTTCTTTTGCTGAGACATCCCCCTCATTTGTCAGCTCTGAATGTTGTTACTGGTGTTACTGGCAACTAGCACCAGATTCATAAGAACAATTAGAGTTATTTCAGCAGAAAGAAGAAAATGAGAGTAAAAAAAAAAAAAAAAGTCTCCTTACTGACAAGCGACAATAAAAGCCCTCAGCACTGTACAGAGGGAAAGGTGCTGGATGCTCAAGGCTCCATCTGGGAGCAGTGACCTTCGTTCTGTGCCTGGTGCTGCCACAGACCTGCTGGGCCAGTGTGACTCAACAGTCTTGTTTCCCAGCTGTTAGGATTGCAGCAGTGCTGGGCTCTGTAACCACCCCAACCCACTGCTCATCTGCACACACGCTGCTCTGGCCCTGCCTCCCTACCCAGTGAAGCTCAGGTGATGCCCCAAAGTGGTGGCTCTGTTCCACTGGGGAAGGGAGGCAGAGAAGATGTACAGGCCTACGTGAAAGGCATTGCTTACACTGCAGAGTGTCCCAGGCATCACCCAAAACACCAGTAAATAAAGTATCCAGATGTGTCTTAGTAAAGAACAGTTCATCTCCACCAGCTCTTGAATGAACCTGACAGTTCCAGCCACACCACTGCTTTTCAATTCTCTGAAACACGTTTATTAGACAAAAAATATTTGTTGTAGGCCACAAAGGTACTTCAGAGGACATATTCTGGAATTCCTACAGCCCAAATTTAGAACACTCAAGCAACAATAAAATTAATGGTAGTTTTCCTTAAGTGGAAATTTTATGGCTCTTCCTACGCTATTTCTGTTGTGCTCTCACCTTGCCACTGAAACTGTATTGGATTTTTACTAGCGTATTACTGTTATTAAATAAACAGCAAATAATTCTTACTAACAAATACGTTTTAGACAGTTTCAGTGCAGAGTAGCTGGTGCACTGGATGCAGTAAGTGGAAGAGAGGTAGAGAGGATTGATTATGGTCAAGTGGAATGAAAAAGTCCAGCTGCCTCAGTTTGAAAAGTGCAGCAATGCCCCAGTTACAGGGAATCTCCCCTCGGAAGACAGCTGGAAAAGAATAGCAAGAAAAAAAACTCCAGGCAAAAAGACTTCTACTCTCTGGCTTAAGTTACATAAAGCAAAGAGAGTCAAAGTTGCATGTTCTGAAAACTAACTGAGGTGAGATGATCCTAAATTTGGGATTTCTGAACTATTCCACTTCTTGACAATACCAACTACCTTCAGAATTCCCAAGGCTAATTCCATAATGTTCACTCCAATTCTCAGTCCATTTCATGGTTTGTTTTTCCAGCCTTCCTCTCAAGGATGAACACTGTCTACAGGAGGACAGGCAGCAGGGAATCATTACAGCATCAAGAGATCTGCAGATGGCAGCAATGTTTTATGTTCTGTGAACATCCAGGTCTGCACAGAGGACCTGAACCTGGGGGAAGGGTGTGCAACACAACGGTCTGTCCAACATCTTGGGACTGCAATTGGAGCAATTACCATCAAAAGCCTGCTTGAGAGTGAACTGCAGTCCAAGAGGGAGACAGCAGGACTTCATATGGGTGGTATTTGCTCACCCTTGTATGTCCATGCACAAAGTCTCAAAAGGAAGAATGAAAAACACATCAGACAACTCCGATGCTTTGTGCATTTACAGAAATGGATTCGAACTGTTAAATTCCTTCCAAATTAATAAATAAAGGGCTAATGACCAGCTATTTCAGCAGCACCTTCAGGCTGTGGGGCTCAGAGCACCTTACAGAAGTGGGAACCCTTTGACCTTCCTGCGGCTTACGTTTCACAAATCAGCAAGCTGCAAAGGTAAAGTGACCCACCACAAGATGCACAGGGACAGAGATAGAGCTTGCTTTCCAAGCATCTCCTACCCTGTCAAACCCTGGCTCCTGCTGCAGTGCTGATACAGCACAGGATGTGCCGCAGCAGTGCAGACATTTTTGGTTGTGTCTGGAATACTTAGCAGCTGATGGTTTAAAATAATATCTCTGCCTGCAGAAGTTGGGAACCATTCCCACTTACCAGCTCCACATGTGTCAGCTGCTGAGCCAGAGTGTAGGGGTCACTGCAGACACTCAGGATTTCTCTCTGAATGGATGGAGGTTTACTTTTAAAGGCAACCAGCTTATCAGAGACTGCAGGACTGATCTTGACAATCCCTTCTTGCCCACGGCTGAGGGTTGCAAGCTTCTGATTCAGGGTTTGCAAAAGCTGATTCATCTTTTTCCAGTAGGCCTGAAGAGACAAAGAAAGAAACATAAATCACCCACAGAATTCGACAAAGGAATGTTTTTATGGTGAATTGTCCCTTCTGCAAAATACTCCTAAGCCGGCAACAGGTTACCATTCTGTTTTCAACAAGCCTCTTTCAGAACAACCAATTGGCTTAATTACAGTTCTGTGCTCTGGACCACAGAAAAAGACTACAGCAAGAGAGTGGCAGGCAGGACTGGTGGAACCTAAAACATTTGGCCAAAAACCATTTAGCTGAAAACCCAGTTCTCTTTCAGAAAGGAGTTTGGATGAGAAATCTTGGCCCAGCCATGTCTGTGCAGTATCAATTTCTTCACTGTTTGGATGAAAAGCCAAAAAGCAGCACAAGATTTCTTGAAAGAGGCATAATAGCCAGCCTTCCAATAAATCCTTATCAAGAGATCAAGTTTCACCCACTTTTGTAGGAAATATGGCCTAATAATATAGATACACAACAGCAAACAAAGGCTCGGGCAAGGCAACCACCCAATAAAGAATGAAATAAGAGACACATTTAATGGACACGAAGAAGATTATTCAGAAACTGGAGCTCTGGAAGAGACTCATTGGGAATCTGTTGGGTGCAACCTTGCCTAGAAAGCTTTTATCTCTGTGTTAGGGGAAGAATTAAAAAATAAAAAAATTCCTTCTTTTGCCATTTTAAAAGCATTTCCTGCCTTCTTTAAACTATGTTCACTAAGTGAAAACAACATTGTTCATTATCTTCAACATGCTGGTAATTACCTTGCCACAGAGTGACCCCCCATTGCACAGGGGCTGTGTGCTGGACTCTATCAACCAATTTCACTTTCTTGCCACGTTCACAGTTAAAAGAAGCATACTGCTGTTTAATATTTAAAGAAAATGTTTCCTTCTTAGCTGGGAAAGTTTCTCTGCAGACAGCAGGCCTCAGCAGGTGGCTTAGGAGCTCAAATTTTAATTAAAATTTCTAACTCTAAATGCAAATCACAGCACTTACTAAGAAATGCTTCTCAGCATGGACACCTTTATAAGCACATCACAGAGCCTTTGGAAAGTGGACACCACAAAGGACAGGAGCACACACTGCAGGGGAAAATCCTGCATTAACCTACATGACAAGATGACCTCACAAATCTTTCAGTCTTTAATTTCTCTGATTCACAACAGGAATGACTTTCTTATGACAACCAGTGGGCACCACCACTCTCTTGTGCTGCCCCTTAAAAAAGGAAATTTGTATTTGCAGCATATGAGATGTTTTTCAAATTAGTTGTTGATTTTGCTCAGGCATAATCACTTGCAATTATAGTGCTTAGTAATAATTTAAACAAATTTTTTGCCCACCCCAGGCACACATAAGCATTGGTACACAGCTGTGCCCACTCCAGAGAGTGTAGCCCTTGCTCGGGTTAGGCAACTAAACTCTTGCTTTGTATGCAAAAAGTTGATTTTCACAAGGACAGCTACTGCTTTTAAAGAGTACTCATAAAGCCCTCATTGTTTGCCCTTTTTGCTGGTTTCTTCTCTCCAGCAGACATGATTTTGGGGGGGTCTCTATAGGTTTCTCTCACTTCAGATGCTGAAGGCTTGCAAGGCATCTTGGTGGTTGGCAGGAGCAAGTTCATTGCCTCTTCCCCTTCAGGCAGAAGTTTTACTGCTCTGTTCAATGGAAGTGAGGCCACCTTGACGCTGAGAGTTCTCTGTGTTCCCTTCACATCCACCAAAGTATCACACAGCTTCCTCTTCCCACCCCTTCTCTCCCACAGCCCAGCCATGCCAGCTCAGCCACCCAGAAGTGCCAGCTGTGGTGCCAGCCCAGCCCAAGAGCAGCTGTTTCTGTTTTTCTTGCGTTTCATGTGGGTAGGAGGGTCCAATTTCATTTCCATTGTGCTGCAGCCCTGCTAATTCCTTCTCTCCTCTCTCCACCCCTCTTTTTCTTGGATCCACGAGTATGCACTTTTTTTCTCTACTGAACTGCACCCATCTGTGACCTGCAGCCAGGTCTTGATCTAGCAAATGGAACTGAATTCTTCCACATCCCATGGTTAACCCAGAAGTAATTAGAGACTATGTACTATTTGTTCTTATCCTTATTATTTTAATGGATATTGTGGTATTTTTAATGTTTCTGAATTAATTTATGGGATTCAGCCACCTGAATTTGCGAGCAGGTCTCCCAGAGACTCCATTCACTGTGTCTTACTTTGCCACCCACACAGCTCATGCATTTGAAGACCAAGACCATACAGCTATCTAGACTGAATTTTTGGCCCAGCAGGCCACACACTGCCACTTTCATACTCCCAGAGAAGCTACGTGCCCATAAATATTTATATTTTCTTTAAATGTAAGAACTGTCCCTTGCCATCTCACCATATCTGCCAAACAAGCTGGTTTCAACAGGAGCTATCTCTTGACCTTATCCTTGGAACTTTGATGGGGATTCCAGTAGCATCAGTCAACCAGTGATCAGAGCCTGCTGCTCTGTGCCTGCTCACCTCCTGTCTGGGTCTCTGCTTTGCAGTTATCAACCAGTGCAGGACCTGTGAACTCCTTGACACAGGCCAGGAAGGTGTAAGCCAAACCCTTGTTAGATTCAGTAATTAGAAGTAGACAAAATGTAAAGATTGTTTTGAAAATTACCTATCAGACTCAAAACATGTAAAGTAAGGAATGGAAAATTAGATTCTGGCCCAGGTGATCAAGGACATAAGCAAATGGGGAAGGTGAGATTAAAAAGGATCATAAACATCCTTTGCCGTTACTCTTTCACGACCACTCATTTTCATAGAGAAATGAAGCCTGTGTCAGTATCACCAGGCAACTGATGGTCTTTTTTAGCTCCCCAGGGCAACCACTTGGCAACTGGCTGTCTGCTCTACCCCTCATTCACTAAACATCCTGGAGGGCTCCCTGAGCCACCACTTGGCCAAGATAGTTGGTCTCACATTGTGAAACTTCACTCCTCTGCTAGACTTGGGAGATCACAGTTCTGTTGCTACTTGAATGGTAACCACCACATTCAGTCCATGCTATGCCTCAGATCTTCCAACTGTTCAATAGGAATGTTGCTCTCTTAAAATTCAATGTTCAGTGGATAAATTCCACTGATCATTCCAACGTGTCCCCATGTCATTGCCATTGGGTACCTCAACTGAGGGATGTGGCTTTCAGGGAAGCTACTACAGGTTTTAATGGTTAGAGGAGAATAAAACGGTAAGAGTTCCCAGGTTGACATACAGAACACAATGTGGCAAAAGGAGAAACCAAGTGGGAAAATGAATGAGATCTCCACACAGCATCCCAGGTCAGACATCCTCACCTCATCACATGGG